CCGGCGGGATGGGCTGCGGGTTGGCCGTGGGCAGCCTGGGGCTGTGTCCAGGGTGAAGGGAGGGTGCCCTCCTGCCCCGGGCGCATCCTGAGCTGCATGGGGGTGCAGGGCAGGTCACACTTTGGTACCTGCCAGCCCAGCGCCTCGGTGGGACCCCCTGGAGCCGGCCGGCCTGCTCTGCTGGGCACTCGCACTCCCCACATCTCATGTGTTCCTGTTGGCAGAGCCCCACTGAAGCTCCTGTGTGACAATATGAAGTACCAGATCCTCTCCAGAGCTTTCTATGGATGTGAGTACCTGTCTTCCCCGTGATGCCCCAGAGATGTGTGAGGGGCCAGGGCTGAGGACCTGGGCCCAAGGCGAGCAGTGGTGCTAGGGCAGCAGGGTGGTGGCCGAGGGCAGTGGGGCACTAGGTTGCACTAGACGTGGTCTCGATTGGGAGCAGACGTTCTGGTTCCCATCCTCAGACTTTGACCTGAGGAGCAGTGATGCTGGTGGATTAAGACAGCAAAATATTGGCCTGTCCCAGCGGACTCCTTGCTTTGCTGGTTAGGTTGGATGCAGCTTCATAGGCTGCCCTTTGGGGACCAGATTCACGAGAGCCCTTTTCTGCCCTTCATCTTATCTCCTCTGCCCCCCGCGTGCTCCAGATGAGCGTCTGCTTCTGCTTGCTGCAGGGCTGGCCTACTGCAGGCACCTGTCCACCGTGCGAACCCACCTCTCTGCGCTGGTTAACCACAACATCGTGTCCCCCGACGTGCCCTGCAGCGCCAGCTCGGGCCTCACCGTGGACATATGGCAGAGATACCTGCAGGACAGCACGGTAGGGACGGCAGGACAGCCGGGACGTGCCCGTTTGGCGGGTGACGGAGCTGGGGCTGCCCTGGGATCTGTGAGCCGAGGGGCCCCGAGTGCCGCCGGGGCTGCGCAGTGATGCAGAGTTCTGCCCGCAGAGCTACGAGGACCGGGAGCTGCTGCGGCTGATCTACTACGGTGGGATCCAGCATGAGATCAGGAGGGCTGTCTGGCCCTTCCTTTTGGGCCACTATCAGTTTGGGATGACGGAGGCGGAGAGGAAGGAGGTGGGTATGGCTGCACTTGTGTGTCCTGAATGCTGCCTAGCTCTAAGCATCCATATATCAGAGCCCGCACTGTGAACCCACAGGCCACTGTGTTCCCGTTGTCCTGGGGCCATAGACAGGAGATGGGAGAAAGATCCAGATGCTCAGGAGCTGGTAGGACCAAGGGCGAAGTCCCTCTGTGCAGTTGCCAGTTACTGATCTTCAGAGAGTGCCCTGTTCCCATCTGTGCATAGGAAGGAAGTGGATGATGGCTTTTCCAGCCTAGTTTTTCAAGGCTTCCTGGTTAGACTGTCTAGCAGAGAGCAGGTCAAACGGGGTTTTACGTCCCCTCTAGCTGTAGGTGACACAAGGATGTGCTCAGCTCGTCTCTGGGGGCTGTTTTGGGGGTGCAGGAAGCGCTGGTTTCCGGGCTGTTCCCGGGACAGCGGCTCAGAGGGGCTCCGTGTCCCGTCGCTGCAGGCCGACGCGCAGACCCGCACGTGCTACGAACACACCATGGCCGAGTGGCTGGGCTGCGAGGCCATCGTCCGGCAGCGCGAGAAGGAGTCGCACGCGGCCGCTCTGGCCAAGTGCTCCTCTGGGGCTAGTCTGGATTCCCACATCCAGAGGATGATGCACCGAGATTCGACCATCAGCAACGAGGTAAGGGAAAGGGAGCAGGGGCTTGGGAAGGGCCCCTGCCCCCAGGACGCATTTCAGCGTGTGCTGCAGGAGGGCTGGGGACGGTTCTGCAGCCTTGCTCGCCCTCCTGCCCTGCTCTCCGCCTGCACCTGGGCACCAGAGCTCGTTGCTGCGTGCAAGTTAACACGGGAGCTCAGAAGCTGCAGCGGCAGCAGCTGCAGGACTGCCCGGGTTCCGCACTGCGCCGGGGGCCCGGGTTGTGCCCCCGTGGGTGCTGGACATGCAGCGGGGTGACTTTGCTGTGCCCTGGCAGCACGACAGCACCTGCAGCTCTGCAGCAAGAAGTGTGACGCAGGACCGGGCTCTGCGGGTGGCAGGAGGAGGGTGGCTCTGGGACAGGCGTGTGTGCAGCTTGCCAGCAGGGGACGGAGCCGGGACAGAGCGCTCGGCTTCCAGCCTGCCCCGTGGAGGCTTCATCTGGCCTCCTATGGGAGCTGCTGTGGGTATTTTTGGAGAGACGAGGGGTTGGTTCCAACCACGAGGGCTACTTGGGTGTATAGGGAGCGAGAGGTGCAGGGAAGGCCAACGAGAGGCCGGGTCTGCTGCAAGGGCTGGGGTGACGCAGCTCTCGCGTTCTCACTCTGCAGCGCCTCCTCTCTTGTTCTCTTTTTGTATCCCTCTGCCCTGCTCCGGGGACATGTGCGGGCAGGGCAGCCAGCGGAGTTAATGCAGGCACAGGTTCACTCTTTTCCCATTATAAAACTTGATATTTCCTGTTTTAAAACGCTCCCATGGAAATGGAGGAAAATTTTCGCCCTTCCTCTCTCCATCAGAGCCCTTCCCAGCAAACACCCACAGTATTAGGGTGGGGACGGCTCCTGCTCCGTGCCCCAAGTGCAGCGTTTCCTTAAAACTCTCGTATCCGCGGGACGTGACTGCGGGCTCCGTGTGGCTGGATGTGCGTGGGAGCAGCTGCGGGCTGCCCTGCACGGCCCGGGGCAGGACCGGCCCTGCGGGAGGGCTCCTCGCCCCGAGGAAACCCCCAGGACGGGGCCCGGAACCGGTTGGGGCAGAGCCCAGGGCGCGTTTCTGCCTTTCAGCTGGAAGCGGAAAATGGTGCCATTGACTCTGACAGACCGAGACTGGCTTCAAACATCAATATTTGTCTTTTAAGAATAGGGAAAAAGCATTAGTATGCTTAAAGGGATTGTTTTATAGCCGGTGACTTCATCGTTTATGTAAACCAAGATCGTGTGAGTCGCGTTGCTGCCAAATTAGGATAGGGATTAGTAGAAACTTGCAGTCCGGGGAGACAGCTTGACCTCTCAGAAGGCCAGAAGAAAGCAGCTCATTTCAGACCAAACCCACAGTGTTTGAACAACTGAATTGGCCCGAGACTTTGTTTTTTATCATCTTCTGCAGCAGTAAATGTCAGTGGCTCTCTGAGGCAGGGTGCAGGGCTGGGTGGCGGATCCACACAGCAGATGTGAAGTAGACGTGTTCTGTGCGAGCGCTTTGGTTGTGTTTTCCGTTGGTTCTTCCCGTGTGCTGTCGGTGCCTCTTGCCTTGTCGCTGCCCTTTCCGCTCTCTCTTGCAGTCCTCGCAAAGCTGCAGCTCCGGCCGGCAGAACCACGCGCGGCTGCAGAGCGACTCCAGCTCCAGCACGCAGGTAACGGGCAGCGCCTGCCACCTCCGCCTGCTCCCCAGCTCGGGCTGCTCCCCAGCAGCTCCTCTATAACCAGGATGGTTTCTGGCAAACCTAAGCCGTGTTTGTGGGAGCCCCGGGCTCAGGGCTGTGCACTGCTCGGCCAGGTTTAACATTCACCAGCCTGCTCTGCCCTGGCGCCGGGGGAGACCTGCCCCGTGTGGCCTGCACCCTTCAGAGCTCCTGGCTGCTCCATGCGTTAACAACCACGTGTCTAAGCAGTGGCTTTAAATGCCATTCTGCCCACTCTATTGTGCTGAGTAAAGTATAGTATTTTGGAGTTGCTGTGCTGTTGTTGGAGCATTGACGTGCCCAACACTGTTCCTCGGGGACTTGCCAGTTGCCAGTCAGCATCCCATTGCGGGGCTGGAGGGCTAACCAGGAGCAAGAGTGATCTGCTGCTTACCTGCCTGTCTGCATATCTGTTTGTGACCCTCCTACAGTGCTCTCTGGAGCAGAGCTTGTCCCTGCTGCCGTGGGGAGCGTGGGCATTGGGTCCCCAAGGGTGCTGAGCGCGGAGGACTTGCCTGCTCTCATGAGGCTCTGCTTATGCTGTGCAGGTGTTCGAATCAGTGGATGAAGTGGAGCAGACTGATGCAGATGCTCAACTGGAAGATGGCAAACAAGGCAAGATCCCCAATGGGACGGTTCCCAACGGCACATATTCCCCTGACTCTGGCCATCCATCTTCCCAGAACTTCTCCATCACCTCGGGGTTCTCAGAGCGCAGCTTCAGCAACGAGGACAGCGCCCTGGAAACCACCAAATCCTCGGCCAGTTCCCAGGGCAAGGGCGGCGGGTCCGAGGCGCCAGCCCCGCAGAGCTCAGACCCTGCTCTGCAGGGCCAGGACAGCCTGGAGGGCGAGTTTCCCCCCGCCGGAGCCATGGACTTCGTTCGAGCGGGCGAGAGCTCGGTGGCCGCGCTGCAGGACCGCGACGCGGTGGCCCTCACTGTGGTAGAGAGCTGGGCAGACAGCGAAGCGGAAAAGCAGAGCTTGGTGGAGAGCGAAGATAACCTCTCTGAGGAGCCAGAGATGGAGAGTTTGTATCCGCAGCTGGACTCCCTGGCGGTTGCTGATCTGGCCAACAACGAAGCATCTCCTGTCTCCTCGTCGGGTGTTACCTACTCTGTAAGTGTTTGCTCAGGATGGGTGCTGAGCAGGCTTTGTTATGGGCATCTTGTTTCCCTGCCTCTGCTCCATGCCGGTTGAGCTGCATGTGCACAGCGGCTCCTCACCTTCACCCAAGCTCTGCCCTGTCGCTCTTTTGCCCCTGCAAGATTCCTGTTGTGCTTTTTTTAACTTGAAAATCAATCCACTTTGCTTTTGTTCTGGGCAGCCGGAGCTGCTGGACATGTACACTGTGAACCTGCACCGCATCGAGAAGGACGTGCAGCGCTGCGACCGCAACTACTGGTACTTCACCCCTGCCAACCTGGAGAAACTCCGCAACATCATGTGCAGGTGGGAGCTGCGTGGGGCCGGGGGAGGCCGGAGCGGATCCCTGCGGATGGGTCTGTCTGGGAACAGGCTCCTGATGGTTCTTGGCTTCCCAGAAGTCACCTCTTAATGTTCCCCGCAATCCTAACGCACCTCTTGGCTTGGCCCTGGTGCCTGAGCCTCTGCTTCAGTTACTGGGTTTTGCCTCCTCCTTCCCCAACACCCCTTCATGGTCTGCCTTGCTGGTGGCCACACAGAGCTGCAGGGACCTCGCAGTCACCAGGGCCTCCTCCTGGGAATC